TTTGAATTTGACGTATCGAATTCACACGCCATTTTGTTTTTAAAACAATTTACTAGTTTGTTGATGGTAACTGTGTTAAATTTATGTTTATTTATACAAATTTTGTTGTTTTACAAATATTTTATTTGTTAATTTGTGTCGTAATAACTTTTGTGTAATACCGTAAGTTGCTATGTTTCATTACTTAAACGGCAATCAATAACTAGCACTCTTAAAATGACACGGTCGAAATGAACGATCTTTCACTATCAATATTTTTCAGGGTTACTGGTTGGTATTTTTGCAGTAAAAACTAAAGGTTACCCTTTTCTCTGTGCGTATACCATTTGTATTCTGTACAAATTACCTAAGAGCCAGGAATCCTCAATTGAAATGTCGTACTTTAGAGTAAAACAATTTAACTTGGCCTAAGTTTACTATATATCATTAGTTTGCCTTGTGACGAAACCATATCGCGTTTTAACTTAATCGCAACGCCATCTATCGGGCTATATATGTGTTACTAATTATTAATTTCGAATATGGGATGGCGTGGGGATCAATTTTTTTCTTATTATTTTATTATTATTGCTACATTTAACAGAGCGATATTAATGTTACTAAGATTTATGTTGCTCTTTTTTATTCTCCATACGCTTGACAAAATCCTCCATATTTGGTGAATATCGGAACGCTACGAATGTCAAAAATTAAATGTTCAGTGGCTCAAAGAATATGAATTTTATTACAATAAGTAGATAGGGTATCTTTTCTTTTGTACATCTGTGTGCCGTGTCGTGATATTAAAAATGTTTGTTGATGATTTTTAATATAAATATTTTTGTGGTTGTGTTTCGAGTATTCACTTATTGGCTAAATATTTTGACGTTATTTAGTAAAGATTTCATTTTGGACTCACACAATTCCTACTCATGACTCTGAGTAGGTACCAATTCAATAGACCAATGCCGTTGGTGGTGGTCTACCATAGACGGAGCCCTATAGGGCTGATGTTCAGCCGGGGTTGCGGGGTAAGCGCAATTAGGCACTGCGGCCTCGGCCTAGAGCAGAAGTAGGAACAAGGGGGTTTTTAGTCAGTAAATGTCTTACACTCCCTTCCGCCATAACCTGGGCAAAAGCCAACTGAGGATTTTGCCCTCACAAAAAAAAATTACTGAGTATGGCGGTTACTGCCTCATTTGTGATCATTGAGAGCAAATCTATGTTTCTGATTCTATTCTCGGTTTAAGTAAAGTATTATTAGAAGATGTTGCCTACTCAGGCTAGCTTTCAAATTAATAGTCTAATTCAATACTCCTATTGAAATATCAAAAACTACACTTTTTGTGATTTTTTTGGTGAAAACGCAACATTTGACGTGTGTGAGTCAAATAGCATACTTCTGTGTAAAGGATTTGCTAGATAATCAACTAAAATTAATAATTATAATGTAAATTCAATACTTTTATCGGAATCTCAAAAAAAACTATACTTTTCTATGGATTTGAATGAGAAACAAAATTTATTATGTTTTCGGCTTACTCACGTAATAATTTGACGAGATACTCGACTAGTTTCAAGCCATGCTAGAGGCCCATATTCTTGAGCAGCATTCCGCGACACGCGACTCGGCGACCGTCGCGCTGCTACTGACTACTCGAGTCTGCGCGCCCAACGCGCCCTCTGCCGTGATTCACGAGAAACAGAATTTTGACGTCATCAAATTTTTGCGTCAAGCGACATACTTTTTTTGTGACGGGAAAATCATTGAATACTTTTTTCGCCCAGTGTGAGGAGAGACGGAGTAAGACTCTTCTTCATCATCATCATCATCATTAGCCTATAAGTGCTGACTGCTGAGCAAAGGCCTCTTCTTATACGGAGAAGGTTTGAGCATTAATCACCAAGCTTGCTCAATGCGGGTTGGCGATTTCAAACTTACAATTAGAAATAATAAGTCCAGGTTTCCTCACGATGTTTAGGTACCTTCACCGTATGTCAGTGGTGTCTAAATAAACATAGAAAGTACACATAACTCGGAAAAGTCCATTGGTACTTGCCAGGTTTCGAAACCACACCCTCATGCATGAGAAGCGGGCTCCTTAACAACGTGACTCCATCCTGATTACTGACTAAAAACCCCGCGTTTTTAGTCAGTAAGAGTCTGTTTCATTCATTTCCTGCCCCAGGCCGGGACTGCGATACCGTGTCTTAGTTCTATAAAAATGAAAGATCAATGGACGATATATCCACAATTATTTTTGAATACTTTATTGTATTGAATAATGAAAAATAAAATGTTTTTACTTTGAAAAATACTCAATTATCTCCGCCTACGACACCCTACCTTTTTAAGTCAGGTTATTGGCATTCAAAATTTGTATTTGCAACTGTTTTCAATATGTTATACCTACCTTTAGTGTTGTTATTTTCCAAAAACACATTTGGTGTTTCCAAAAACTTTTTCTAGAACTACATAGATGTAATGAAAATTTCTTTTTTATTGACTTTCAATTGTTTATTTTAACCAAATGTGCAACATAAAAGGCTCCTGATGTTAGTAGTATTTTTCCATTTTTATTATTTGGAAAACAACTTACTTGCTGTTTTGGTCCTTCGTTTATTTATAAAGAAGTCATTTATAGAATTCGAATTGAGTTTCTGTTGGAATTTCTAGGTCCTTGCCCTTTGAATACTATAAACGTGAAAGTTTGTAAGTATGGATGTTTCTTACTCTTTCACATAAAAACTATTGAATGGATTTTGATGAAAATTGGCGCGGATAGGTTAAAGGCACATGGGGTATTTTTATGACACTTAAAATCACACAAATTCATCATTATCAATACCAACCCTTGAGAGTCCACTGTTGAACAATGTCTCTTCTACCATAGTATGATTGGCCATACTATAATTCTAATTTTTTAATAAAAAAATTACAGTAGGGATAGAACTGGAGGTGCATTTGGCCTCCCGTGACCTTCTCTAACACAGCGAAATACAACACAAACGTTATTCTATGAAGCCTTGACGGCTTCATCAGCAAAATAATTCCGGTTCAGATGACCGATTCGTACCAAAGTATGTGTTTCTCACATTTCCCATTACATTGATTAAAATGTACCGCTGCTTGGCTTTTAAATAACTTTTCAAAAGAATTAACCTATCTTAGAAAACTACTCGCTGTGCCCCACAGTTTTGCTCGCGTAGTTATTATATACACATATTCACCGGGGATAGTGTAGCTTCCCAGCAGTGAAAGAATTTTTCAAATCGGTCAAGTAGTTTCAGAGCTTATTCAATTCAAACAAATATACAAACAATCAAATCATCCTTCTTATTAGTATAGAAGTATAGGTTAAATACGCCAAGATTTTAATAAAACCACGTATTCTCAGGAAAACTACAGTGAAACCGAAATTCAGTTAAATCTCTGAACCAGAGTTCTGTGCTTGTTTTGTCAAACTAATAGATTTCTATAGAAGCACAGCGGTGCGAAACACGGCTTGCATTTTAAGGAGAACTTGTAGACAAGACAAGTTGTTCCCAAGTTAGTCCGATAGTGCGCTGCAGTTCTGCGTGGGTAGATTTCATTGTTTTATAAGGAGCCTTTGTAATAAGATTGTCTGCTTGGAAGTTATTACAAGCTGAGAAAAGTTAAAACCTTAATTGTCGTCTTGTTATTGAAGAACGACGTTAGACTTTTTCTATAGGTTCACTTGTAAACAAGGAACAAGTATAGCTGACGCATAGGTACAATTACAAAATAACATTTTTCATGGTATTTGGTGACTGGGCTTCTACTAATTGTACAGTTTCTTTAAAGCTTAAGTCATTATGTCTCCTACATTAAATTTACCCAAGGAAGTAAACTATTTAGTTTTTTCGTCGCCCCAAAAATCATCGTCTTAGTTATTAGTGGCGGGATCCAAGCCCGTACTTCATTTCTCTGGGAATTGCAAAGGACTTCTGTGTTTTGGTGTTTTCATGGTTGTATCTACTGAAGATCTAGGCTTACAGGAGTTCAACGGTTTTGCCCATTACAAAAAGGACCATTTGTAATAGTCAAATTGCACCAGAACAAAGCACAACCGGAGAAATAACGTAACGTAGTCAAGTTGGAACCACCACGGTATAGATACCGCACCACGCTGATGAAAATATAATAGTAGGATGATTTAGCTAATAATAACATTTCACAAACAACTATCAAAGTTTCATAATTAATTATTTAGTTTGTATTATAACTATCGCAGCGTACAATCATTTGGAGCAAAATTTATATAATAACTTTAGTTTAAATTTATTTACATGAGATTATTATTCACTTGATATTGCAAAACGTAATTGTTGGATTTCTAAATATATTTGATTTTTATAAGATAGAGGGCAAACAATCAAACGGATCTGAAAGTGTTACGCATGATTTCGTCTATGGCAAATTAGCAAAAGTTTAACAAAGGAGTTTCAATTGCATTTCCTGCCTTTTAATGGATTAATGCTTCAATGAGCGTAGTCGCACATCGAAAAACACAGCAAAACTTTACTAGAGTTAAGAAAAATCTATAAGCAGTCAGATAAGTTTTGTTTAATTAACTAATAATCGGTTCAACTAAAACATTTTTTATTTGTTTCAGATTTCCCGATAAATGCACACAAGAAAACCAAAGCCAGAACGAAAGTGATGAAGTATTGGAGAAGCCACAAACATGGATACTATAGGAGCATTAAGAACTAGCAGAATAAAATGGAGGCTAAACAGCTTACTAACATTATACATACTCCTTTTCACACAATGCAAAGGAGACACAAGTCATGATATAACCAAAACAGATTTAAAATTAGATAATAATTTAGATTCTATCCACTGCCATAGCTGTTATAGTAGTAGTACTACAGAATCACATGTAGAAAAATATGTAGACGTTGTAGATGATATCGTGGGACAATTAAACACATTCACTGATCAACATTTAAATTTAAATAAGACAGTAGTATATTTAGAAAAGACTGTCGAAGATATGCTTGATAGAGCACTAAGCAATGATAGGTTTAAGATTTTTGATGGAGTTGAAGTAAAACCTGTAGGAGATAATGATACTAAAGTTGAGAAGAGGAGTGATGAAGGCAGGGCTTTGTTCAGTAAATATACTTATGAGTATAGAATGTATCAGAAAGTAAAGGATTTTGTTAATACGCATATTCTGTCGATCAATCTACCGATGGCTGCTAAATGTGAGTATTGGTTTTTTTTGTTCTTATTTTACAGGTTTTAATAAAAGTTTTTAATCCGAGACTAATAAAATACACAAATGATATAAATAATATAAGTCTGAGGTTTTTGCCACGTGTGGTGGTGTCAATTGCCCAATTGCCACACGAAATACTTTTTGGTCGTTTGGTTGATCTATAATTTCTTTGATCTACAATTTCTGCATCTGAGTGATGTGTTTTAGAATTTATATGTTTCTAAATTCAGTAACTAGACAGGAAACATCACTTATGTGTAAAGCAATGTATAAATATCACATTTTAAGAATTGTAAGACCGCACAAAACAAATTGTCGCCATAATTATAATTACCACAAAGTATCTAATTAGACGTATCATCATGTCCTATCAACACGTGGTCAACTGTAAATGACATTGATCGCTCTAATTCTGATGTAACAGAGAATGGAAACCACAATAGGGGTCTAAAGAACCACAAACCCTTTCACGCCATTAATATCGCACACCATATAAGGGTGTGTAATTAAGTGTTCAGTTGAAGCAGCAGCTGTCGCTGGAATTTAAACTTTGAATTCAGATGATAAGGTCGAATGTTTATAAGAAAAGTTCAGTTAAGTTTTTATAAGAAAATTTTGTTAATTTCTGCAGCATTTTCATAGTGTTTAGAATTGTTTCTAATGTATGGCGATAGGATTGACGCAGTGGCTGGACAACCAGCTGCTGTGTAACGTGTCGTGTAAGGGAACAATTTTTAGTGCAAATCACAGATTTTTAATCGGGTGTATTGTGAATTTGAACTTGAACATTTGTGATCTAACTCATGACACAGGAGTAAAAAGGTCTTCCAAAGAAGCATATCATTATACGGATTAAGTAAAAGGACATCATGTTTCTCAAAAACTGAGGATGTAGACAAGCAGTTGTGATATGAACCCCATGTAATAAGGGGCGAGGGTAAACCTACACTGTGCATAGTTCATGATCGTTTCAAATGACATACACAAATGGAAAATTTAAACGTCAAAGAGTATACCGCTATGCACCTACATTTGACGAGATTTTCCTCAACTTTAATCAAACATCTTTATCCTTCCAGCGTTCGGCCTCAACAAATTCTTCATACCGATTCTAATAGGAGGACAGGTGCTTATAAAGACAATACTTTTTGCAATGTTCCTGCCAAGCATTTTGGGAAGCTTTGGAAAGATGCTGAGCAAAGGTAAGCAACAAATCATTATCATTATTATCATCATCATCAATAACCCATTAGAGTCCGCTGGTGATGTGAATAAAATCTCCGCACTTGTTTTTACGGTTGAAGAAACCAACCAATAATTTCTCCCATCTTTGGGGAGTAACAGACTCATACTGGCTTCAAATCAACGCGTTCCATCTTCCGTTCCGAATACAGCCACCGTGTATCATTGCGTTAGAACTTGCAACTCAGATCGGGCATCAGCACATCTGCGATTATCCTAATAGGTCTATGAAGCGCGTGTGGCATACGACAAACGATCCGTATAGGTGTTGAAGGTCACATTTCAGGTTTAGGGTTATAACTTTTGACTGCATGACAAACTTTTGACTGACATAAACGCACCACGACACAGGAGACAATCGTAGAGGAGGGCAATGGTTTTTTTTTCAAAATGAGGGATCTGCTGCCCGGTCTAATGTGTAGATTCCTAACTCTGATCTGACACTCGCAAGAGGAGAAGTTCTGACAAATGTATTCTATTCTACCGTGTCACCTAATGGTACAGCGCCTAATACCAGCCACTTAATATCACGTTAAGCTGCTTAGCTTAGAAACGTGTTACTTTGAGAATGACGCGTATTAAACTTAAGTTGCTTGGCAATTACTTGAATTATTTAAGCGATGAAGCAAGTCTTTACGTGGAATTAAAGATATCAATTTTATCCTTATGTATATGTCACCGTTAACTGGTTTATTAAGCCATTTAATTAACAACCTGTTTTCTGGTGGCGATATGGTCTGTGTGAGCCACAGATTTAGATAAACCTAGGTATAATTTGACAACAACTCTTCAAAAAACGGCCTGAAATTTTGGCCATCTAATCAAATGGCTGGTTATTGAATCCGTTAGTAGAATTGCTGACTAAGCTCTTTGGCTGCAACATACATAATATATACATCTCGTCAGAAGAGGTTAAATTTTTCCAAAAACGTATGTCAGAAGCGTCTAAATAATCTTAAAAATAACCTATTTAATAAATCAAACATTGGTATATTCCAAAAGATACGTAATAATATTAAAGTAACGAATGAAATGTTACCTTATTCGCTGCGAAATCCATACAAAGTTACTAGGCGAACATAAATTCCAGACAGTAAAACGGAACTAGGTCGCTACTATTGTGAGTTCGTACAAAACCTGTCAAATGGAAAGCCATCATATTATTAAAACAGCCTCTGTGTAATAATGTAATCCTGGTACCTCAGAGACCTATTGTACTAGGCGCACATAATACAATGGACGGCCTCGATTATTTTGTATGCAAATCGCGGCACCTATGTTTAAGAATTAATATTAACTAGTGAATAAAATGGCTGCCTTTACTTACGCTCATGGAAGCTACTTTTTTGTATATGTTTTAAGGCAATTTCCAAGATCGTACTGAATTATCTTAGAAGTTATTTAAGGTTTGCATGATTTGGCAATGTAGTAATAGCCCTCGTCTGTGTCTCGAGGGAGTGTATAACTCTTTCTCGATTCGGCCCCGGTTATCCCCCGCTTCGTCACTTTTTCGGTCCTTGTAATAACCGCTATATTATATGCACTTTCTTACTAACTGAACACCAACTCGTGCACTACAGATGGAACGCAATAGGGCTGATATTTAGTCAGGGTTGCGGATCAAGCCCAATAATGTACCGCAGCCTCAGCCTGGAGCAAGAGGAGGAACAGGGTGGTTTTTAGTCAGTAGGAGTCTGACACTCTCTCTCGCAGTACTCAGGGATACTTCATCGAAAAAAAAATACAACTCCTGCACCGAGTTTAGCTGCAAAAACATATTTCGCTTTACCCACATCCATGGTGGTCTGGCCTGGCCATGATCCTCATCACAACATCATCATAAATATTTGGGCACCTTAGGACAGTGTAATGGAAACAAGAGACTATTGATGTGGGTTGCTACGGACTGGTGTAAAGGCAACTATGAAAAGACGTTGGCACGTGCTGAAACAATGTAATTATTAGATATCAAAATGGAAGGTGGGGAATTGCTAACTCATAGTCACTACTCATACTCAATCCTTTTTGACGTTCAAAAGTGCCTGTGAGGGTCTAATTGAAATAAATGATTTTTGACTTTTGACATATTTCATTATTATTGCGGCCGGTGTAATTGGGCGTTCTTATGACTAACCTTTGTCTGCCCCTTCAAAAGGATGTGATAATAAGCTAAGACTTAATGAAAAAAAAGTTACCTCATTTGCTTCTTCTTGATGATAACAACGAAGTATGACCATTATATTCAAGTCAAAAATGGCACTTCGGCTTTAAGAGTAACAAAATGAAGCATTAAGATAAGTTGATGCCCTAAAATTTGTTTTAGGTGTCTTAAGTGTCAGCGTTATTTTTATGGCGATGTGAAAATGTTAGCTGTTATTATAGCTACAGGGGATCGTAAATTGTAATGGTCAGCCATTGTCAGGCCGGTCGATTGTGTCGAAAAGTATAATGTACCTATTATATTTTCTTTTAAATTAATACATAATATGAACAGCTTACTGATATTACTCTGAAGGATTATACTTCTGAGCCTCCAGCTGAAATTGCAGGTGTAACCGTTATTAACACACCGCGGCTTCGGCCTAGAGTGGAAAAAGGAGTAAGTCCATTTTAGCCAGTAAGATTCTGACACGATTTCTCTCACTTGCCCTATCCAGAATAAAGAAGCCATTTGATGATTTACGATTTAAAATAAAAACACACATAAAAAAGGTACATGAATTTGTGATTTTTCATATTCTTCATTCTTATTCTTCATTCGTAATGTATGGTATAAAGATCGTATCATGAATATGAGCCCTCAGCGTGGCTTGAAACTAATCTAGTAATCTTACCCAAAAATTAACGTGAATAAGCAATTAAATAATCTATATTATCTTCAAATTACAGGTCTTTCCACGATATCAGCGTCGTCATCCCAGGCCAGTTATCCACCCGCTAACGTGGATGACCAGGTTGGATACAACACGGATAATAAAGACTTCATGGGTTACGAGACCAGCCAAACGGGAACCTATGCTTACCCTCAAGATGGCATGTACGGAGCTGATGCTAATGATGTCAATGACCTGGGAAATGTTGATATGTCGAGGTAAGGAATCAAGAAGATTTAAATATATGTATGTGGGTATCTGCGCAGAGCTTAGTACGACTGGTGATATTATTTGGATGGATGGAAAGAAAACTATCTCATATGGGGATATTCGAAAATGTTCAGTGTCCAACTGGACGCAGAAAAATAAAAGTTGCTCTAAGAAGCGTGGAATGAATGTAGAACTTAATTTTTTGTATGATAGTACGTTAGACAAGCAGATGGAATACCCGATGGTAAGCAATCAGCGCTACCCATGGACACATGGAGTTATGTGTGCGTGGCCGGTCTTTTTGAAATTAGGATTTAGGAGATTTAGTAGTTGGGCAATGATTGGGGGAGGAAAATAATTGGTCACAGAAAAACACCGTGGTTGTTCACGCTGGATTTCTATAAGGCTGTGGTATCACTCCGATCGAGCGCACTAATTCGTTCCGAAGCATGGTTTTCCCACATTTAAAATTGGTTAAAAATTAAAGTTTTCCCTTTTGCTATTGTAACGCGACCCTAATGTAAATGTAATGCGAATTTGCAGACACTTTTTACATATAATGACAGATTTCCTTTATGACCAACTGATATGTGAAAAAAATCAATGAATTCTTTGATACTTGCATAGTCTTTACCCAAAAGCCAGTCGTATCAGAAAATATTGTTGAATTATCAACTTCATTAATATTGGTTAACAGACAGTTCAGTGATTTCGATGTGGGGAGGGGAGGGGATAATCGAATTATGTACCCCAATTTCCACGCTGCCAATAATAGTAAAATTTTATCAGAAATTGTTTTTTTTATTAATCATTTACACGGCAAATTTGCTGAAGGTATTCAAATGTATTTTTTCTTTATAATTCGATTTCAATTGTAAATTGAATTCTTGCCAAGATTCTGGGAATACTGAGAGATTGAAAAATACTTTGTACTTTAAATTTCGAATAGCGATTTTTCGACGTATTTTTTGCCTGTCAAGAATTATAAAATGAGTGTAGCCTGTTATACTTATATACACGAGTTGCTAAAGCAAAAATGAGTTTACTATATTGTAACTTCAATTTTATAGAGGTATCTTTAGAAAAAACAATCGAACCACAAGATCAGTCGATCATTAATCATATAAATTAATAAATAAATATTCGGTTTTTATAAAATGATAGGTGTTTTAAGCCGTACTTTTATAAAACTGCAGTACTAGAGCGCTTACAACTTGTATGCTGTGAGAGTCACAACATTCCGGGTTTAGAGATTTGGAGATAAGTTAATTAAGGTCTCAAAATGGGGATGGGAGATTGGACTTCCACTTACTAGGCATTCCATTGCAAGTAAAGTTTCACGGGAGTTGTCTGTGATGCCGTGGTATCACTCCAGTCGAGCCAGCCAAAACATGGCTCTCCCACACTTAAAAAATACTTTTGCTCAAAAATTTTCTTTTGTTTTCCAGATTCGGCGTGGACGGGCAAAAAACAGGATTCCTACCTTCAAAGAACAGTTACTACAAGAATCAGATGAATACAGCGAATAATTACAAGGTACCATTATTTCTTTAATTATAACTGTTGAAGAATTTAACTGAAAGCACAAATTTTAATAAAATAATTGAATTAATGAAAACTAATCCAATATTGAACTTCACTTACATTATTCATTACACAGATGACACTTCACTGTTTCGAACTGCAGTGCGTCATTTTTCTAAAAGCTCCGTACCTGACAGGGATTTTTATGTAAGGTTATGTAAGGTCAAAGATTTTTATGTGAAACTAGCAGCTCGCCCCTGCTTCGCACGGGTCTCATCATCTCGCTTACGATGAAAGGGTGTCCCTATCACCCAACACTCACGTCTACTTTTCAAAAATTTTCTTTCATAAAAACCTTCTCCTGGCAATAATAAATACAAAACAAAAGGATTTGGCAACATTGGTCCAGCTGTTTTTGAGTTATGCGCTTACCAACACATTTTGCGATACATTTTTATATATAAGAAATAGATATACATAAATAGATTATATGTTTGGGAATGCAGAAGACAAAAATGTATTTTAAGTAAAATAAATACACATCTTCACATAATAAGCTTATTATTTGTCAACTGCTAAGCAAAGGCCTCTTCTCACACGGAGAACTTTAAGCATTAATCACAAGGCTTGCTCAAGACCGATTGGCGATTTTAAACTTATAAAGTCCAGGTTTCCTCACGATGTTTTCTTCAACGTAATACAGATTTTTTTTTTTATTTCCAGGTGTTCCAAAAGATCCCGGCCTCCTCAATGATCCTGAGTAACTACGATCCGTTCTACTCGCCACTGTTATCACGACTCGACGGCATATTTGCACGACTTGGTAAGTCTCTTTTTTTTTTAATACAAACGCTGTTGCAATGGCGACTACTAGACATTAGGCCTTAAGTTTAATCTATGGTTTGAGCGCAGTTTTTTATCCTATTTCTCTTTATAATGCGTTGCCCTACACTAGGATTTTCTCCTGTCTTGTGGGTGCGTTTACAAACATTCAATTTCACATACACATCACACCCAGACCCGGAACAACAATTTGTGGATCACACAAAGTGTTGTTCCGTGCGGAAACCGAACCCTCGACACGTTGCACGGCAGCCAGTTGCCCAGGCACCGCACCAATCGTGCAGTCCATTGGTCAGCAACGGAAATGACGGGTCACCTGATGGTAAGCAAAAGAATCACTAGGTCAATTGGCGCTGCACTTAGACACACTCAACAACAGAGGATTTAAAATTGTGCTGCCGTCCTTTTTTCTATCAGGGGATTAGCATCGAAGAGATCCCGGTCATGGGGATTAGGGTATTAACGATCAGGTTATTGGCGTTCAGGGATTGGAGATCGGAGATTAGGGATTGGTGTATTGGGGTCTGGGATTAGTTACGCTTTTGCCATATTCAAGTAGGCCATAAGCTTAGTTGTTAAGTTTCATAAATAAGTAACTCCAAGTTAGATCCCCTCTTTACACGTGGAACCGTAATAGGCATTTGTATCTCAAAAGGAGATACACAAGATTTCAAATGATAAATAAATATTCTTCTTTAACCTCCTTCCAGGTTTGGCGCCAGCGGAGAACTCGGTGGATGAAAATATCGAAGCTTGCAGAGAACAGCTGATCTGCTTGATGTACGCCAGTCCAGCCAAATTTGCGCCCTACAGCAATCTGGTTTCTGCTCAGCTCAGCAGGTATTGTATTTGTATTTCATTTGTTTTTTATGGTATAAGTCGACAAACGACCAGACGTATTACCTGATAGTAAGCAATCGGCGCCAACCGTGTACACCTGCAACACCAAAGGAGTTACGAGTGCATTGTCGGCCTTTTGGGGATAAGGTTTGGGGATATAAGGATCGGGAAGGGATAGGGCAGGGGGAGGGATTGGGCTTCCGGTAACCTCACTCACACGGCGAAACACAACGCTGTGGGTTGTTTCACGCCCGCCATATTTTGTCAGAATGGGCATTATGATGATGGTTTCAAACCTAGCAAGCATCAACACGGCTTTTTTGAGTTACATGCTTAGAAAGAACCACATTCTAATTACATTTGAGTATTCAGTAAAGATATATTGAGTAAAGTATTGAGTATCGGTTGAGGGGTCCGCGTCTCATATGTGGCTTTTTTGTGAGTGGAAAATGAAGAAATGACTTCTTCCGCTCAAGGTATTGCGAGAAGTGTTAGACTCTTACTGACTAAAACCCCCCGTTCCTTCTCCTCCTCTAGGCCGAAGCCGCGGTGCCTCATCCTTACCCCTCAACTCTGGTTAAAAGCCCTGTAACAGTCCGTTTCATCATTATCAGCCTATAAATGCCCACTGCTGAGCAAAGGCCTCTTCTCATATGGAGAAAGTTAAAGCATTAATCACCACGCTTGCTCAATGCCGGTTGGCGATTTCAAACTTATAATTAGAAACTATAAGTCCAGGTTTCCTCACGATCTTTACCTTCACCGTATGTCAGTGGTGTCTAAATAATCGTAGAAAATAACAGTCCGTTTATATTTATTTATTTATTTAACTTAACCAACGATTGTTTACACTTCCTGTAGAACATATCCCTTAGGTGACTGTAGCGACATCTATAGGAAGTTTGTTATTATAATAATAATTGATATCAACACCAGCCTTAATCAGTGGTTGTATACCCCAATTACAATTGTCAAGGATGAGGTCTTGGATTTCTAGTTCGAGATAAGTGTTCTTTGATATCGAATTAGTAGAATATGATACTTGACTTTGATGTGATTAATTCGTGTAATATTAGGAATAAGTTGCGTCGTTGACAATATTGAAAAGGGTTCACAAAGTTCTATAGCAAAACTTTGAGATTGGTTTCACAGTTTTTTTTTTATGCAATAGTTCAGCAAAAGAGTAGTCGGTGTACCTGATGGTAACCAATCAGCGCCGCGAATGAACACCCGTAACAACAAAGAAGTTACGAGTGCGTTGCCGACCTTTTGGGGATTTGGGATTTGGAGATTTAGGGATAGGGGGAGAGGAGGGCGTCTAGTCACCTTACTCACTCGGCTAAACACAACGCTGTGGTTGTTTAACGCCGGTCGAACCGACCCATTCGTGAAAACACAAACAAAATTCAGTCACGACACAAGAAAAATTCTAGTGAAGATGTACAGAAAAAAGTATTACCATATTGTAATTTGAATAAGACTGTTTTTGTAATAAAATATCTGTTTTTAGTACTTAAACATTGCCAACAACGCCCATTGGCATTTCTAAATAATGTCAAGATTTTTTACAACAATAAATTTTATTTTATCTCCAACAATTTCAGTAGAGGCAGAACCAGAATCGAAAGAGTCAACAGACCACCACAAATGTTCCAATACAGCTGATGTTCAGCCAGGGTTGCTGTTTAATAAAAAATAAAGTACAGCAGCCCCGGTCTAGAGTAGAAGGGACGGGGTTTTTAGTCAGCAAGAGTCTGACACTCCTTTTCGCCCCGCCCAGGGCCTAAAAAATAATTTCATGATTTTTTTTCTTCCTCAAAAAGAAACACCTCATTTATGTTACAAATGACAGTAATAAAAAGTATAATCCTTTTATACAGTTACTAGCTCTTGCCCTCGACCCCGTTAGCGTGGAATATTGACTTCTGCCGATTTTTGGTTTAAAAACTATCCTATATCCTTTCTCTAGTTCCAAACTATGTCTGTACCAAATTTCACAGAAATCGGTTCAGTAGTTTAGGTGTGAAGAAAAGAAGACAGACAGAGTTACTTTCGCATTTATAATATTAGTTTGGATTTAGATTATTAATTTATTCAAAAACTTTTGGTTCTTGTTTTAATAAGGATCTTTCTTAGTTATTGAAGTAGTTTTTACCAAGTTTGGATCTTAACTTGCAGTAAATGGCTCGGTTCGCTCGCTCAGAATTCTAATTAAAAGATTATGAACGCTAAGTTTAGTACGTGTAATAGATAGTAACATTGTTTTCAAGATGGATTCAGTGCAACTAGTCTTTCTAATTAGTTATTATAAATATATAAAGATCTTACTTGTTAAGCAATTAGGTGGAAATATGATTGAGGTCAGTTTGGAAGCTTAGTTCGGTTGAGCACTAAACTATCGTCAGTTTTCTATGAATTTCGTAGGAGATGGTGCCATTTCCATTCATTTATTTTGAGCCATCCTATAGTACCAATATACATAATACACTTATATTCCTGACTAGCTACTGTCAAGTAGTTTCACCCGCTGCTCGGTTCCATTTAACCATAGCGTGATGTTTTATAGCCTATAGCACTCAAGAACGTTGTAGCTATAATGTATATCAGTGAAAGAATTTTGGTAATCCGACCAGGGGTTCCAAAGATAACCCCCTACTTACAAAAATACAAACTTACAAATTTTACCTCTTTGTAATATTAGTATAGAAAATTTGTTAAATGATACACAATTTATTTATATTTATCTTAATATCAATCAATTAAATTGAGGTCAGTTATTAAATAATGGGCGCCGCCCATAGACACCAGCAACCCCAGAGGAGTTAGGTACAACTACGTTCCCGTCTTTTTGGGATTAGGGTTGCGGAAATTCAGGGATTGAGGATGGAAAACAATGGGCCTACGGTAACCTCACTCACACGGCGAAACGAACGCTGTGGATGTTTCACGCCGGTTTTCTGAAAGGCAGCCGTAGACCTATTCCTGCCAAAGCTTGGCTCCCCCACACTTCAACTCAAGATTGAACAACACAAAATTAACTATATCCTTTTACATCTCCAGAGAACTGAACGAGCTCCGAAGGCCAGTTTCCGACAACCCTGAGATCCTGCGGTTCTTCAAATACATGAAGGCAGCGAGACGAGGACAAGAAACATCAGACTGTATGTATGCCTACCCGACGTGCACCGCCAACGCTCCGAAGACGCACACTATGATAGCAGCTTACCACGACATCAACAAATTAGTCACAGCTAGGAAACTACATAAGTAAACTTAATAAAAAAACTGTCTTACATTGAAGAAAGTTACTAATAAATCCATTTTTTTTTTGTATTTGTTAATAACTATCTTGTGTGAATTTATTGGAAAAAATGACTTACTCACGTGATGAATGAGTTTCAAGTCACTTCTGCTCGTGAATAAGAGTCCTGTATTGACTTGAAACTAGGAGAGCTTTCGCAGTTAATTCATACTAGGTACTCGTTACTTTCAATATATTTTTTATGATATCATTGAATTTTAACACTTTAAACGCCGCATTATTTTTTTAATCGCAAATTGTTTTCATGAAACTCGTCAAATGTATTAAACTTTTGTCTCTAGTAACTTTATAACCATTCTATGAATTTTATGTAAGATTCTGTGACGATTGATGTGACGTCATATTATTATATCTTTTTGCGTACCTAAAATCCAGTAGAAAAATTCTAAAATTCATAACCTAAAGTATCATTATTTTATGATACTTAAATAGATTTAATAGAGGAAAGGACTTGTTTTGTGACTGATTGTTCATCCATATTCTTCATTAATAATATCAAAAACCGTTCACTAATAGTGAGTGTTAATAAAGGACTTAAAAAATACAGTCATATCTCAACATAATTCATAATTATGATATGTTTAGCCATGTTGTATTATTATCATTTGTAAAAAATGTAAACTTATTTTTTCATTATTTAATAATATATTATTTGTATTATTTTATAAGTCATTTTTGTCATATATTATACAAAAAGTTCTTTTTTATGGATAAAATAAATTTATTTATGAATACATTTAATAAAATCCAAATCTATGTAAATAAATACTATGTTAATTTATGTTTCTTGGAAGAGAAACACTTTTAATTTAATTATACTGTTCGCAATTACTTAAAATGTTGAGAAATCTTTGCCTTACGATACTTTTAATGTAGGAGAAGTTGCCGTTGGAAGTTTGATACATGTATCTTTGTTTCTCAAACTTCTAACAAAATATGTTCTCAAGAAATAATTTTAATAAAGTGAAGTATCTACTCACATGTGGCTTTTGAGATGACTTGAAAAGTTTTAATATTTCGCTTCAATATGAGCATTTAATCTTCGAGTTGGAGTACATAAGTGTTATTAAGAATTTTCGACTTTCAAAATTCTTGGTCATGGAGATACACACTTTAAGTACTCTATATAATTACGTTTATGTGTGAAACATAATTACACACATTTTATATATTATGTGACTTACTTTCTCATTACTGCTAGGTACACCGTAAAAAAAGTTTAGGAGTTACTAAATAAAAAATCATTATAAATAACTGATAATAGTTTAATAAATTTTAAATGTTATTACTGTTATTTATTTTATGGATAATAATTTATTTATTTATTTATAATTGTTGTGTGAATGTAATTTATTTGAATGATTGTTGTGTGAAATTATTTATTTATGTTTAAATCTTGTAACTTAAAATAAATTATTTTGTAAAAATAAATAAGTTCGAAAATAAATATCACATCTGTTTAAACCACCGTAGTCTATTACAAAAGTCTTATTAAGTTGTAAATTAAGATTTCTCAATAAATTTCGAAATTTATTTTATAAAATATCTTTTTACGACTTACTTTTGTAAATTAAGTTTGTTTATTTATTTCATTAATTTATTTTATATTTTATTTAATTTATTACTAAGAAATAATTTTGAAACTCTAATATGCGCAGACACATCGAACATTACAAATCTAGCCAATCACAACGCTAGGGTTTTTAAAATGGCTACCGGTACGATGATGCACATATTACAGAAATTTTAATATAAATTAATGGAAACATAATTTTGATGACTTATTTAATAAAAATGAATTATTTTTAGTTGGCTGTTGACCCTATCTATGTATCTGATTGATTTCTATTTTTACTGATAGTTGTTTGATAAAAAGAGGGAAAAGTCTTAGCAAAATGTAAATTCAGGGTAGCTTGTTGTGTTATATGGCTGCCTTTTTGACTCTTCAACTTTGAAAACTATTCAATATTATTGTAAAAATGTCTTCTTGTCACTTGTGCAAGTTTATTGCTTAGTAAATGTTGCTAAAAGTTAAAGTGAAGGATTGTTGTTGTTGTAACTATGGTGTTGTGTTTACTATTTATTGTTATAGTCATAATCCAATAAAGTGTAGATTGAAAATAAACATTGTTGATCAAATATTATGTTGTGTATATTATTTAGGTAAACATCGAACAATTCAAACTAGCAAAAAAACTGAAATTTTAATAAGAATCTCGACCGGCCTCACGGAACACCGGCGTGACACAACCTCAGCGTGTTCTTTCGCAGAAGTAAGGTTGGCAGAAATCCAAACTTTCTTCCCCCCATCTCTCCGAAACTCTACATTTTCGAAACTCTTATCCCCAAAAGTGTCACGGGTGTACAATGGTGGCGCCGATTATCAGGAGATCTGTAAACACGTTAGCCGTATCCTATAAAAAAATGACCCTTTTTTGTCACCAGCTCAAATTTCAATAAAGATCACTGTTAACCTTACTGATTAAATAGTACCTAAGTTAATCCAAAATGATTACTTAAGAATCCCCCATTCCATAATTCCAGAGATAATTAAAAGGTCCCATAAATGTATGATGAAGGCAATAATTTCCGGATTATAATATATTCGCTGAAGCCTGAAAGACTGTAATAAACCCTTAGGATTAACTTCATAACATGTTACGTATGGGTGAAACCATATTTCAACTGATAGATTGTTAATTGAATATATATGAATTTTAATTAAATTTTGACTCATCATCATCATCATCAGTCTATAAGTGCCCACTGCTGAGCAAAGGCCTCTTCTCACACGGAGAAGGTTTAAGCATTAGTCAACATGATTGCTTAAGACGGATTGGCAATTTCAAACTTATGATTAGAAATTATAAGTCCAGGTTACCTCGGTACCTTCAACGTATGTTAGTAGTGTCTAAACCATCGTAGAAATAACATTTTACTTGAGAAGTCACATTGGTGCTTGCCAGGTTCCAAAACCGCACCCTCGTGCATGAGAAGCGGGCGCCTTAACCTCCAGACCACCACGACAGGCATACAAGAAATTTTTAGTATTTTTTTATGAGAATAGGCAATTTAACGGCATGGTAATTATTGTGTGGATGGGATGTGCTAAAGCCTTTGACTGCCGACAGAAAACTGTTTTAAGGCAAATCTTCCGCTATCGGAGATCACCGGTGACCCCTATGGCGCTTAACGTGTTAACAGTCCTTTGAACTAAGGAACGGTCCTTAGAACTAGGTAATGAGTTTTTAAGTAAGTTCCGTTATAAGTAGGTTATGAGAAAGTCAATTAGCGGGCACAATATATTTTTTTCATTATTGACAACTTTTTTATTATTTAAGTATTTTACTTGAAACCGTAAACATACCTACATTTTTTTTGCATTCCGAATTTTGAAAGAGTTCTTAATTAGGTTAACGTTAATAATAAAGTAATAATATTTAATTGTTGATTTTCGAAATCAAATTTCGAAGAATTTATACAAAAATACCACAAGTAATACAAAGAAACTTTCATAATACACACATACATGATAAATTAATAATATTTAATACATCATAAATTTAAATTAAAGAAACTATACACGTTGCATAGTGACTTCTTATAGATTTTTGTTATAAAAACTATCCTATGTGCTTTCTCGAGTTTCAAACTATGTCGAAATCGGTTCAGTAGTTTAGGCGCGAAGAAAAGACAGACAGACAAACAGACGGACAGACAGAGTTACTTTCTCATTTATAATATTAGTTTGGATTTAATAATAAAACAAAACCTACCTTTCCTTAAACATAATAATATACATTTTATTCGAAGCGAAACCGAAACAATAGACGCTCAATTGAAAATTCAAATTAATAGTGGACCCTAGGATGAAACATGGCGATATCTTCAACCCCACAAAATGAAAACAAACATGGCTGAAATTAATAATGTCTTATTCAAATATAACCTTCGTGCAACACTATTCTAATATAATTTAATACCTTTAGGTACATAAGTCAATTGATATTAATGTTGTATTATTTAGTGAGAATCCTGTTGTCTGTTTGTCCTACACTTTTCGCCCAAAGTCAAGTTCCCAAATCCTTTTGGGGATTAGGGTTTTGGAGATTTAGCGATCAGGGAGAGCTCGCGGGAAAGGAAGGCCTCCGGTTATCTCACTCGCACAGCTAAACACAACGCTGTAGTTGTTTTACGCCGATTTTCAGCGAAACCATGACATCTTCCCCTATCCCTTCCCGATCCTTATATCTGCAACCCCTATCCCCAAAAGGCCGGCAACGCACTCGTAACTCCTTTGGTATTGCGGGTGTCCATGGGCGGCGCGATTGCTTACCATCAGGTAATCCGTCTGCTCGTTTGCCGACTTATAACCATAAAAAAAATCTGGTCGAGCCGACCCATTTCTGCCGTAGAATGGTTCTCCTACACTTATTCAATAAAATTAGGATGCCTCACGATGGTTTTTTTTTTTATGTAATAGGTCGGCAAACGAGCAGACGGATTACCTGATGGTAAGCAACCAGCGCCGCCCATGGACACTCGCAACGGAGGAGTTACGAGTGCGTTGCCGACCTTTTAGGGATTAGGGATTTGGAGATTTAGGGATTGAGGAGGGATTGGGGAAGGGGAAGGATTAGGCCTCCGGTAACCTCACTCACACGGCGAAATACAACGCAGTGGTTATTTCACGCCGGTTTTCTGTAAGGCCGTGGTATCACTCCGGTCGAGCCGACCCATTCGTGCCGAAGCATGGCTCTCCCACACTTAAACTGTAGGTACTAAAACAAAAGGAAAATCTTGGTAACTGTAGGTACTAAAACAAAAGAAAAATCTTAACGTTATTTTTAGTTGAACAATTGAATTCATTGTATAAAGGTAAAATTAAATCCTCAAACAAAATAGACAACACGAAACCCCATAGAGGAGCTAGTTACAGATAATTTAAT